GCCCCATCGGTGTGGTCCCCTCCTGCCGTTCCAGGGGGAGGGGTGTCGTTGTCCCTTTGCCAGGTAGCCTGAGGTGCCCAGGCCCTGTGCTGGTGGCACTGCAGCACTCCAGAAGTGGCTCTGGATCCCTCCAGCTGTTCTGGACAATGTGAGATGCTGTTCTCTGAGCACATCTGGGTGTTCCCGTGCCTGTGAGCCGCCTGCTTTCCCCGCAGGTCCCTGCGCACCGCCGTGGGCACCGCTGTCATCTCCTCCGCTCTGCGCATGAGCACGTCCGTGCGCTACCGCCTGCAGCACCGCGTCCAGGTACCCCCAGGAGGGGCCGTGCTCCCCCCGCCAGCGGCACTGCGCAGCCTGACCCCCACGCTGTGCCCAGCCTCGGCTCAGGGCCCCCGGAGCTCCCGGACTCGGGGTGTCCCCTGCCCGTGTCTCCCACCCTGACTCCCATCCCAGGGAGGTGTTTGCCCTGTGCAGACAGACCTCGTTGCAGCCTCGTGAGTGAGCAGCATCACTCTGCACTCAGCGTGGGCACAGCTGTGTCATCTCTTCTCCCTCTCTGCCTGCAGGACCTGCCCCATACGCTGGTGGGACCCATCTGTGCCTTCTGGAACTTCAGCCTCAGGTGCCTTGTTTCAGATCAGGTCCCAGATTTATGAGCTTTAATTCCACTGCAAAGCCAAACATAACAATAGAAATGTAACGGTAAGAGCAGGGGTCTGTGATTCTTTGCCTGCTTTGCCTGCTGGCATCCTCTGTCTGCTGGAGTGGAGCACTCGCCTGGGAAAATTTCCTTTGGAATAGTCACTCACCAGCGAGTGACCTTTAATGAGGCATATCCAACTGAAACGGAAAGCCCTGGTTAATTATGATTGCTGCCTGCAACAAAGAAGGGTTGGTCTGAGATATACAGCCCGGCAGACACACAGGACTCCCGGCCTCATAAATCCTGCTTGGCACTGGGAGGTGTTTTTGCTGAATGTCAGCGCAGTGAGAGCACCGAGGCTGAGATATATTATGGATTGGTAATTAAGCCGTTCAAGTGCAAAAAACTCCTTCGAGTTACAGTCTCCTAACAGGCATGGACCCGTCTGGGGAGGGTGGGAAGAGCGTG